CCCTGGCCAGATCTTTGCTCATTTCGCACCATTTTTTTTAGCAGATGTACCTTTTACTGGCAGAAAACATTTTACATGCTTATTATGTAACATGAATAAGGTTTAAACCCCAAATGATTACCGTCAAATCATTTAATTTCTTGGCGTCCTGGTCAACTAAATAGGACTACGGTTTGTACTAAACATACAACGTTTTATGAGTCAGTGGTCAAAAAATTCCAAAACAAAGTGGTGCAAAGTGTTTTATGCTATAGAAGGCTTCATGAAACCATATGTAGTTTGACTACATGATTTGTCATCGGATTGAAATGCTGATATCATGGTGGTGCATTCTTGAGAGCAGTCTTGGTCCCCTGATGATAGATTCACTTTTCACTCCATCACTTTTCTGACAGGCTGTAAGGGATAGCTTTTGAATTTCAGATCAGCAGAGGCAGCGCGCTCTCCTTCTCTGAGATGTGTGGTTGGCAGCTCTTTCATCCCTAAAACATTGGGCTGAAGCATGCACTGAAGTATGCAGGAGATTTCGGAGGGGGAGCTTTGAGAAGTCTGAGACACAGTAGACATTTCACTGTCACAAAGGCCACTCACACAGACAGACATGACGTATCGTCCATCTTGAATTGGGCCATTTAGCATGGCTAAGTGTCATTCTGTGAAAGTTTCGAAGACTTTTGTTCAGCGACAAAGAATCCGAGTTGTTTTCTTTTCCTTATAAATTGTCTAGAAATGTGTTTGCGTAAATTATCCTGCACTAGTGGATGAAGGGGTTAGAGTAAACACTGGTGGGCACCGGAGAAAGAAAGCGAGCGGGGCTGCTGTGTTTGTCATACAGCACAGGCCAGGCCTGGGCCGAATGAATGCGCGAGGGATTCAAAGGAGGAGTGCTTGAAGTCTGAATTCAATCAACACAGGGCCATGCTCCATTGGCAGCATGCTGATGAAGCTCCATGAATAGCCCCATGCACTCCCTCACTCCAGTGTTTAGCAGGCCTCAGTCATTAGGCCCTATTTGAGTCTGAGATTACAAATGAAAGCCAATACTTTTCCAGCTTGGGGCTCACCTCTCTAGCCATGCACATGCTCAGACAGGAGGGTACCATCTAGGCAGGAGTTTTAAAGGTAAACTACATACACCAAGGGAAAGGTGGATGCATTTTCACAACTGAACTGTTTTTCACCACAGTGACAGTGTTTGTACCTTGAAAGGTACGATCTTTGCTGAGAATGTATGATGGGTGCAGACAGAAATACAGAAGTCAAATTGCATGCTTTGTTGATTTTTTAAATGAAAATAAGTTAACACATCATCTGCAGAGAACTAACTTCTGTACATTTTAATGCAAAAAAAAAACAAAAATAAAAACGCATAAAACATTAAATATTGACGTGCCATCACTTTTATTTATTTATTTATTTATTTATTTATTTATTTATTTTTTTGTCCTCATTTATTTCTTTGTTTATTTATTAACAAAACATGTAATTTGACCAGGGGTGCCCAAACATTTGCCCACGACTGTAGATCTGTGACAACTCAAATAACGATTTGACTTAAATAATCATTTGAATGCATAATTTCTCTGTAAAGAGCAATAAAAATGACTGTGTATAACAGAGAGGTTTCCACTATTATTACATGTAATATGTCATAAAAACATTTTCTTGGTACTATATAAGACCTTTTTTGCACACGTGTAGCATTGCTCTGAAGAACACTTTTTGGCTCCTTTATTCTTTAGAACCTTACCCCAAAGCATTTTTTAAAATTATTTTTAATAACAGTATTTTATTATTTTTAACTCCCCATTAGTATAAACCATGCTGTATCATTAATCTACATAGATTTTTTCATCCTATTTTGTGTTTCAGTGGCTTTTGGGCTTATTGAAGTTTAAAGAAATTCTCTTGCTCCATCTAACTTCTAATCCGGGTCCTGAAGATTCCTTTCCATAACATTCCCACGTCAGCTCAGGAAGGGCTTGTTAATTAGTGGATTTTTTGGATCAGGCAGGGAAAATATGCAGAGCAGGGCTACTGCAGGACTAGGGTTGGGGACCATTGATCTAACGCTTCCTCTCACTGTTTTCCATCAGTGCTAATAAACCATTTACAGAAATAGCATCACTTTCGATTTTTTGATTGATTGATATTTATAATACAATAGACACGGGGCACTGCAGTGTGATATTGCAATGCCAAGGGCACGATGAAAGTTTCTTGGAGAACAGTACAATAACTTTGAGAGTTACTTTGGGAGGGAGAGTGAAAAAGAGCGAGTGCGGCTGGTGGGAGGGGAGAGATGGGGAGAGACAGAGAGAATCAAATCACTCTTGAAAATGTTCCAATAATCACTGAAGCGCTCAAGCAACTCAGCTGCCTGAAATAGATTGGAGTGAAAGTACTTTCACTTTTTATGATGAGAGAGGCTTGCAACAAGGGTCGTCTGGAGAACTTTTTTCAGGTTTTTATGGCAGCTCTGACAAGCCCTGCAATATTTCTCTTCTGCTTTAAATGTAGCCTGAAATACGGGGCGTAATAAAGGGTGCTTTGCATCTCGATGAGTCAGTGATGGGGTGAGAGAGGAGGGAGAGAAGATGGAGGGAGGATGGAGGGGTGTTGGCGGGAAAAGACTGAAGTCTGAACATGCCTCACAGGAATTAGAGATGTTTTTTGGCAGGAAAGAAATGATGAGTGACACACATGTTGGACTAAAGTCCATTTCTGCTATCTTCAGGGGATTGTGTGTGTGTGCATGCGCATGTGTGTTTGTGCGCCTGTGCATCTTAGCAAAAATTCAAGAAAAGCACAAATAATTCTAAACACAGAATAATGCTGTAGGTTGTAATCATGAGCACTGTAAAACTCACAGCAGGAGTCTTTCACTGAAATGAAAACATAAAAATACTGGCAAGTCTGAATGCCATTAGTCTGGATGCATTGTGTCAAGCTTATTAAAGATCTAGTCAGATCATTTCTGAAACAGTTTTTCCCCCTTTGTTTTTACCTAATAGATGGCCTGAGTAGTAACATCTACTTGTAGTTTATTCTGAACACATCAAAACCCTGATTTTCCATTATAGGCCTGATTTATAGATACACTGCAAAACTGCATACACTCCAAGAACATGTTAATTAAAAATACAGAGGAGTCAACATGCATTTAATGCTTTTGTACATCCTTTTTCTTTTGACAAACTGGATAATCAGTGTGCCAGCTGGACTGGATTGCCTTCTGCTTGAAGCCATTTGCTTTAACTTCTGCTGGATTGTTTTGATTGTCAAACATCTGCACTACATCCTTGTACATCAAATATTTGCTGATGCGTTGCTATTAAGTGCTGCAAGACCACATTCAGCAAACTGCAATGAAATCTGAATGGCTTATAGGTAAATTGCTGTTACTACAGCAGGTTAATGAGGACAGATTTGAATAACAGCAGTGATGTGCTTGTTCAGCAGAAAAGTTTCAAAATGCATTACAAATTTCCATACAACCCTTCACAAAATGGGCAAATGGATCTAAAATGTCTTGCTAAAAATGTATAAACAATCTAAACATAGCACCAGTGATGAGATGAGTTTTAAACCCTTAAATGGGCAGGGCCCACTAGCAGGCCTAAAGTTCTATAACACACTTCTAGAACCTATAAATAGCTCAATCAGTTTGCAAGTCCCCGTAGCTACTGAATAGCATGCCTTAGTATGTAATAAGCCTGGGATTTTAAGGTGTTAATGAAAGAGTGTTAAACCTAATTAAACTGTATTGTTTCAAAGATGATTTTCATCTTTTAAAGTAAATGGTAGACCCAGCAGTAGGTCAGTTATGTCTACTGTTTACTTTAAAAGATGAAAATCAGCCTCCCTGCAGTGCAATCACAGGAAAACACCTATTTATATAGTTATAATCTGAACAGTAAGCACTAGAATAGGTTAGGTTATATCTTCATAGGTTATACAAGGTTATATCTCCATTTAAATTGCAGTTCACTTTCAGTGTATAATTATGAAATTATTTCAATGTGTATTAGTGCTTTTTAAACATTTTCAGTACATTCTCAAAAATACAGGTTCCTAAATGTTGTTTGGCCTGCATGTATAGTTCTAGAAAACAAAATACATAAACTATATAAAACTGTTATAAAATATGGCTGTAAAATGATTAATGCAATTGGTGCAATTAATCACATTCTTTTGTGTAGTTATTTGTGATTAATCACATTTATCATACTTGCTCAAATTTGAACATTTGAGCCTACAGAAACTTTTTTTTAAATGTAAAATTAAAAATTTAATTTAATTTAAAAATCAGTGCATTTTCTTACAGCTATACCAGTGGACAAATTAAGCTTCATCAGAATTTATTTACTACTTTCAGTAATTCAATAACAGTACTTTTATCATGTGAATGCAGCGTCATCATAAGCATGAAAATCACAAGATTTCCATTTGCAGTTACTGGTTTTTATTGCTAGCATCCAGTGAGAACAACAGTGGCTTTGTGTACTGACATGATTGTAAACTTTTGCTCTCGTAGCAGAACATTATGTTTTGTTCAAGGGGAACTCGAGCTCCATTTAGCTGTTACTTTTGTTTTGTTGCAAGAGCAACTGTGCTTCAGGGTGGAACTATACATGATTTAAAGGTCAAAGTAGGCAAATTGTGGCATCAGTGATTTATCATATGTTATTAATACATTAACTTTGACTCTTCTAGTATAAAACTTTTACGTTATGTGAAGAACCACAGGCTCTGTAGGGAACCAGAAGTGATTCTGCTATAGCATTACTTTAAAGAACTCTTATTGATTTATTTTCATTATCATATATTTTGACAATAACCACAATAATTTTTATCACTGATATTATTAAAGACAAGTTTCACACTGTCCTATCCTTATACAGCAGCTTGACTCCTCAAGCCTTTAATTAAACTGTGATTCTGGAAAAAAAAAAGGAATTTTACAACATATTTACTATGCCTTTGTCCATTCAATTCAGGTCAGTTGGTGGCTGGCACATGTGAAATCATCACCCTTGACCGGGACAGCAGTCAGCCGAGGAGGACCATTGCCCGGCAGACAGCCAGGTGTGCCTGCAGGAAGGGCCAGATTGCCGGCACAACCAGAGCCAGTCCAGCATGTGTAGACGGTAAGAGCCAGGGGGCGTTGGTCCAGGCTTTGGTGTCACTGTATATCTGAGCCCACTGGAGCACACCAGAGCAGCGACTGATCCCAGAGATTATTCTGTCTGCTCAGTGAGCGGATGTGTGAAGCATCACTCATAGGATTTTGACTGTTGCTGTGGGTTTCATCACTGTCTCTTTCTGAAGGCAGGCCACCTGTGGAGGATTTGTATCAAGGTGCTGGACACCTGGGAAATCATGATCTTGTGGCGATGGGATTTAGATTGCTCTATGTGATCTCAGTGTGTGAGAAGAAATCCATGGAATTGAAACTCAACTTGAGAATAAGATGGTTCTTATATGCAGTCCACTTTCATTTGCATTCAAATCATTGATGTTAAATTAACTCCACAAGAGCTAAATTAACAGCCACTGAAACTCATGTGACGTCAGTCTGGATGAAGCTGGCCAGGCTCCTGGAGCAGGCTCAAATTTGCTCTGCAAGTGTTAATTGAACACTGGTGATCTTGTATAATGCAGTGACTGAGTAGAACTTTCCGAACCAGAGTCAGCAGAGCATTGCAGTTTGCTGGAAAATGGATTGCACAGATAGAATCATCCACACGTCCTCAAGTTGTCCGCTTTCATTTTCTTAACGGTAGTTGCTGTCTCACATGAAATTTTAATACATATTTTGTTTGGTAAAACTTGTTAAAAGCAAGTTAAAAGTATGCATGCTTGGTGCTGGCAGGGAGCATAACATTGCAGTCCAAAAAACACGAGTTAAAGCACAAAAAAACAAGTATCAAGTATTTTGTATTTTTTTGGTTTTCATTTTTCGACATCATTTGAGCACAGCAGCTGCTCTTTATGTTATGTAAAAATTTTATGATGAATTTCAACAGAAATGCTCCAAAATTGCTTGAATAAAATCTCTTTACATTAACTTACATTAAAAGTAAAGAACACTTTAAAATCACACTTTTTCTGTCTCCTACAAATGTATTAGTTTTTCTATGAGCTTTTGTTATGACAATGACAATATGTCACGCATTCAGTTGCACACTGATAGTAAAGAAGGATTTAGCAAAAATCCATAATTCACTCCTTTTTATACAGATTCTAAATTTTTTGAGACATATTTGTGTCTCAATCCCATGAAGGTCACATTTCATGGAGATAATCTCTTACTGCCATTCCTCTCCAGTCACACTAAAGTTTTGAAAAAGTATTGTGGTTTATTGTAATATGTCACACTGTTCTAAATATTGCTGACAAGAAAGCTAAAATCAGTAAAATATCCAATCTTTGGCTAGAAAACATTTGGATTTCGAGAAAATGCAGATTTTTAAATCCCAAGCTTAAGTTTCCTTAAAAAAATCAGTGTGTAATAAAGGCAGAGGATCAACATTTCTCTCTTGACCACTACCTGACCACAGACGCTCCTTAGGTACAATTTCATGCTCTCTGGCCCTTTCCTTGTCTCTCACAACATGACAGGGTGAAGCTATTGATTTCTGAGGAGGGCGAGAGGGGATGAATAGGAGCTATTGTCAGACAACCACAGCAGCTAGCGGCCTGATTGGTGGCCTTGTGATGTCCCCACTGGATTAAATGATAGCTCTTCAGAGCGGCTGGAGGAAAGTATTCTGTTTATCTTAGTGCCCTGTGGCTCTATCTGATCCTGGTGAAAAAGCAGGTGATCGGGGGGACTTTGGAGTCAAAGAGAGAAATAGGCTGCTCTGTCTGCCATTGTGCCAGGCTTTTCTGCCAGGTTCAGTCAAGCGATTGCTGGCAGTGTGTAAACATGCCTTGCTGTTGGAAGGTGAGCTATTTTTCAGTCACACATGATGGGATGAGGCTAGGAAAACCAAAAAGGCCTCCCTATCTGCTGGAGCATGGTTAAAAAGATGATGACGAGACTGGAGGTCAACCACAAATTCTGCCAATAAACAACGTTTGAAGTCTCTTTGAAGAAACACTGGTTAAGCAGTACACCGTAAAAAGTGTCAGCTCTAATTATGCCCTCTGTCGAGGCACTTGAAGAACACCTAAAGCGATTATTGATCTTGTTTTTCAGGGTTTTTTTTCAAATTCATCATTAAGAGACAGCTGATAAAAGGTGAAGATGTGATGTATAAAATTAGAGGTCTGTGCTGATGCTGTACTGTGTAGTGAGGAGAATGTAGGTTTAAAATATGATAAAAGATATATGTAGAATAATGTTGCTGTTGAAACAAAACCTTGTATCTCCAAAATGTGTACTTTTTTAGAAGAAGGAAAAAACATTCTTTACTTTTAATGGAGTATAATTTTGGAGTATTTCTTTTGGTCCATTTAACATGAATTTTTCACACAATATAAAGCCCAGCTGACATTTTCAAATTATGTAAAAAGCAAAAAATAACAAAAATGGAGATACAAGGTTTTTCCAGACAGAGGTGATTAGGGTTTTGGCCATGGAGCCTAATGCTGCTGTGGATATGTAGGTGGATGTGTGCAGAGTGCAGATCTATGTGTGTTGTGCTGCGGGAGTACATGCAGAAGCATTACAAATAGCAAACTGGCTACTGCCATGTCACCCACAAAGACACCTCAGCTAAGATCAGTTCATGTAAAGATGTCTCCTGCACAGAATTTTGCCCCTGACTGCAACTAGTCAAGTCATGCATTTTGAATATTAAGATTATTTCCAGAAAAGAATTATCCACACATAAATGTAGATGTAAATCGGATGTAAATCTAAACTCAAGTCAGTTCAGGAAGTGGTCAGAGATACATTCATTCAGACTGTTAAATAAAGGTAAATGCATCAGTCTAGGCCACACATGACAACCCAAACACCTTCCAATACATTTCATCATAACAGCTGTTTCATGATCACGATGACTAAAACAGTCATCTTCTTATAAAAGATGATTGCTGGGGCTTCTAAGTGGTCTAACCATATTAAGTGTTCAAACTATCATCAGGAGATTGTGAGTTTGTTCCCTGGCAATGCCGCAGTCATGTGTAGCTGGCCGTTAAAGGAATTTAATTGGCCTGACTTGGTAAAATGACCCTACCTCTTCTTAACTCCCCTCACTCAGTGTAATGTTAGCCAATGTAGGCCTCCATTAGTTGAAATATCAGAACTGACAGTTAGCATTCTCCTCCAAGCACGTTGAGCTGTCAAGTGGTCTTTTGAAAAGATGAGGTGCTGCCTCATGTGTCTTGGAGGAAGTTTGTGCTGGCTTTTGTGCTCCCAGCTTGGTACATTCGTGTGATGGGGGGTACTCATCTAGTGGGTGGACTTAATTGGGTACAGAAAGTTCCTGCTGAAACTAGTGTCTTGCTCCAAGTTTAAGGAAATTAATGTAAGGCAAATTTTGAAAATAAAATCAAATGTAGATAATTTTTCACTTACTTCAGATGTAGTCAATCATCTGAGACATGTTTGATGTCAAAATTTTGCTTCTTTAGTTTAGCGCTGGAACAACAAGGCTAACATGGCTAACACATGGCTAACGAACAGTAGAAGTCAATAGTCAACCAATTTTTTTCCTGTAAATTCATCTCTGAAACTTCTCTCAACCTGCTCAAACTGCAACCAGGTCTTTATTAAGTTTGTACAGACTTGTTGACAAAACATTGTAAATTTGATTTACCATTCATTCAAAACCACTCTATTAAGATGGCCACCATCTTTTGCATAGAACAGGAAGCACTATTATCAGCAAATGTGCATGCTTCACATCATATAGCAATCAATGCTGGCTTTCACAAAGCAATTCAGAGTAAGAAGTTTGATCTTGGAACAGATTTCTTCTTTATTTACGATGATGATTGCTACACAAGCCTCATCCTAAACTATGAAACTATTAACTTTTTTAGTACTATATAGAACCCTATTTGCCAAGACTGTACACTCTTTAAAATGGTTCTTTAAGGATTCTTTAGTAAAAATAATGGCTCTGTATAGAACCAGGAACACTCAAAGAACTATTTGAATACATAATTCATTCTTTGGCTGATCAAATGGTTCTTCTCAACATAAAAAAAACAGCTGTATATGATTCTTTTAAAAACTTCCACTATTGTTATCAGTCAAAGAATCCTTTTTCAGTACTATATAGAACCCTTTTTGCTAAGAGTGTAGGTTCTGAAGGGGTTTGTAAATACAGACCTGTATTTCAATCAGACTAACTGGAGACACATTTTACCACCAAGTGTAAATGCATGTGATTACAGTCTTATCAGGATACAGTTTATATACAAACCACATGAAATGTGGTGTAAAGAGCATTATTCTTGTTCATGTACACTACAGTCTTCCTGCAGCTGCATTACAGCATTTCAGGATGAGATTACACTGAGTCATCAATAAACAACAGTCTGCTCAAGCGCTGATCAGCACCATTGGCTAAAAGATACGTTAAGCTGCTGCTAAATGTAAGCTTTGCTGCATGTAAAATCTGGCATGAAGAATACTGAACAGGCTTGGATAGCATTATTCATTCTAACAGCATCTTTAATGCTTTTATGAAAGTTCACTGAATTTCTCAAAAGAAGAGACAAAGCATGACGAGCAGGGCATATTTGCATTGTTAATGGTTGAAATATGCAAAAAGAAGAAAAAAAAAACAATCTCACAATGTCTCAGCATTCTGCAGATTATTCTCTTCAGCATGTGGGCATTTTATTTGATTACTCTTGGAGCAAATGAGTTTTATTTACATGGAGAATGCATCTTGTACAGTAAAGCAGTTTTTGCTATGATTAAGTATTTGCAGGTGCTGGAAACAAAACAGATTATGTTATAATACATCCCATTTCTCTCAGAGCTTACTGAAGGCAATGCATAGTGCATTTTACACATCAATTAAACAATCTAATTATCCTTCACAGTGTTAACAGTGAGAGATCTTAAACTCACAGACTTACTACATATTTGCCTCAGAGCTATTCAGCACCTCCAGTTACTTCTTATAAGGATTGTAAAAATGTTGGTTTAAGAAAAGCGTTGCATTGTTGTTCTCAGAGCTGA